CACACACACACACCACACACACACACACACACACACACACACACACACACACACACACACACCACCACACACACACACACACACACACACACACACACACACTGGGACTCACTCTTGGAGGGATTGGAACATGTGCAGCACCACACACACACTGGGACTCACTCTCAGAGGGATTGGAACACACACATGTGCAGCACCACACACACACACACACACACACACACACACACACACACACACACACACACACACACACTGGGACTCACTCTCAGAGGGATTGGAACACACACATGGCTAAACCACACACAGAAGCATCCAAATGCCCTGCGGCTCTGCATGTTCTCCTGTCCACAGTAATCCCTCTGCAGTGAGCCTCTGACGCTCTGCATGATCACCGCTCAGGAGAGGAGCCCCCCCCCACCATAGTAACCCCCCCCCCCCACCCCCCCCTTTAGCTGCAGCCCGGTGCATCGAGCCTGCAGCACTGTTGATCATTTCACAGCTCGCTTAACGCTTCAAATACTCAAACCACAGATGAATGTGAGCGCTGATGGGTTAAATGTCTCTTTTTGATGTTGTTTCTCCAGAAAACAGTCAGATAAATTGCCAAATAAGCACAATAGATAACGCAACAGCATCAGTGTCATCACCTATCATCCAGAGCATGTGGATCTAACTTTCCTGCAGACAAACTTCAGCGTGCAACACTGAATTGAACCCTCATGCACACAGCTGCACACTGCACCAAACCCCCCTGTTCTTTTTTAAGTAAACATATAGCCATAATTACGTTTGGACTCCTTGACAGTTTTCAAAGCGGACTGTAGTCTCTCCAGCATGGCTCTTTGATTAGCATGTGCAGAAACAAACACACACACAGGGAAAAAAGAAAAAGAATAATCCTTTATATTCCTGGTGAGGAACAGGAGCTGAAACAACACGTCTGAGGAGGTTCAGCGAAGCATTTCTCCTGAGCATCCAGAGAGCAGTGGAGAGGAAGGTGGGAGGCGAGGGGAGAGAGGGAGAGACAGTTTTAATCTTTGGAAAACCAGACGCTGGACGCTTTCACTGCAGAGTAAAGGGGGAGAGAGGGAGAGAGGGAGAGAGGGAGGGAGGCTGTTAGGGAGATAAGAGTGATGGAGAGAGGAAGATGAAGAGAGGAAGTGATGGAGGATAAAGACAGATATGGAGAGGGAGGTGTTAATGAAGAAGAACAGGTGCTGCAGAAACAGGTGCACCTATATCCGTAATCTCCCCGTGGAAACATGACTGCGTGTTCCCAAGGGCCATGAAGGAAATTGGACTGCATCAAACTGAGCAGAGGGCAGCCAACGCAACATGGGGAGGAAGAGGAGGAGGGGGAGGAAGAGGAGGGGGGGGGGGGGGGTGATTTATCACTGTTAACCTGCTATTCATGAGCACTTCACTAAAAGCTAATCAGAGCGGGAGGTGTTCGCTTCACGGAGAGAATATAAACAAGTGAGATAGGTTCTGGAGATGTGACACGTAGTTTCACTGCAGACTGATAGAGTTCAAATTAAATATAAAACATTTTCTTAAGGCACATTTCTGGTGAAACACATTCATTCTTTCTTGTAAATACCTCTTAAATGTAGCCGGTAGCCTATTCAATAATATTAAAGAGGCCCTATACAGGTTGCTTGTTATTCACAGGTTTTAAAGAGTCCTCTCCTGCTGATGTTCAGGTTTATATCAGTATGTAGTGTCACTACTTTAAAGAGTCCTCTCCTGCTGATGTTCAGGTGTATATCAGTATGTAGTGTCTCTACTTTAAAGAGTCCTCTCCTGCTGATGTTCAGGTTTATATCAGTATGTAGTGTCTCTACTTTAAAGAGTCCTCTCCTGCTGATGTTCAGGTGTATATCAGTATGTAGTGTCTCTACTTTAAAGAGTCCTCTCCTGCTGATGTTCAGGTGTATATCAGTATGTAGTGTCTCTACTTTAAAGAGTCCTCTCCTGCTGATGTTCAGGTGTATATCAGTATGTAGTGTCTCTACTTTAAACAGTCCTCTCCTGCTGTTGTTCAGGTGTATATCAGTATGTAGTGTCTCTACTTTAAAGAGTCCTCTCCTGCTGATGTTCAGGTGTATATCAGTATGTAGTGTCTCTACTTTAAAGAGTCCTCTCCTGCTGATGTTCAGGTGTATATCAGTATGTAGTGTCTCTACTTTAAAGAGTCCTCTCCTGCTGATGTTCAGGTGTATATCAGTATGTAGTGTCTCTACTTTAAAGAGTCCTCTCCTGCTGCTGTTCAGGTGTATATCAGTATGTAATGTCTCTACTTTAAAGAGTCCTCTCCTGCTGATGTTCAGGTGTATATCAGTATGTAGTGTCTCTACTTTAAAGAGTCCTCTCCTGCTGATGTTCAGGTGTATATCAGTATGTAGTGTCTCTACTTTAAAGAGTCCTCTCCTGCTGATGTTCAGGTGTATATCAGTATGTAGTGTCTCTACTTTAAAGAGTCCTCTCCTGCTGATGTTCAGGTGTATATCAGAATGTAGTGTCTCTACTTTAAAGAGTCCTCTCCTGCTGATGTTCAGGTGTATATCAGTATGTAGTGTCTCTACTTTAAAGAGTCCTCTCCGCTGATGTTCAGGTGTATATCAGTATGTAGTGTCTCTACTTTAAAGAGTCCTCTCCTGCTGATGTTCAGGTGTATATCAGTATGTAGTGTCTCTACTTTAAAGAGTCCTCTCCTGCTGATGTTCAGGTGTATATCAGTATGTAGTGTCTCTACTTTAAAGAGTCCTCTCCTGCTGATGTTCAGGTGTATATCAGTATGTAGTGTCTCTACTTTAAAGAGTCCTCTCCTGCTGATGTTCAGGGTGTATATCAGTATGTAGTGTCTCTACTTTAAAGAGTCCTCTCCTGCTGATGTTCAGGTGTATATCAGTATGTAGTGTCTCTACTTTAAAGAGTCCTCTCCTGCTGCTGTTCAGGTGTATATCAGTATGTAATGTCTCTACTTTAAAGAGTCCTCTCCTGCTGATGTTCAGGTGTATATCAGTATGTAGTGTCTCTACTTTAAAGAGTCCTCTCCTGCTGATGTTCAGAGGTGTATATCAGTATGTAGTGTCTCTACTTTAAAGAGTCCTCTCCTGCTGATGTTCAGGTGTATATCAGAATGTAGTGTCTCTACTTTAAAGAGTCCTCTCCTGCTGATGTTCAGGTGTATATCAGTATGTAGTGTCTCTACTTTAAAGAGTCCTCTCCTGCTGATGTTCAGGTGTATATCAGTATGTAGTGTCTCTACTTTAAAGAGTCCTCTCCTGCTGATGTTCAGGTGGTATATCAGTATGTAGTGTCTCTACTTTAAAGAGTCCTCTCCTGCTGATGTTCAGGTGTATATCAGTATGTAGTGTCTCTACTTTAAAGAGTCCTCTCCTGCTGATGTTCAGGTGTATATCAGTATGTAGTGTCTCTACTTTAAAGAGTCCTCTCCTGCTGATGTTCAGGTGTATATCAGTATGTAGTGTCTCTACGTTAAAGAGTCCTCTCCTGCTGATGTTCAGGTGTATATCAGTATGTAGTGTCTCTACTGGGACATGTATCCATGCTTTAATGTTCAAAAAGCTCTTTATTTTTCTCATAGTGCCTGTGCTGCAGCACCTCTTTTCACCCTCTGTCTGAAACCAGAGCCCAGTCTGCTCTGATTGGTTAGATGGCCAGCTCTGTTGTGATTGGTCAACCGCTTAGAGATGTCCCGCCCCTTAGCCTATCACGTACAATGTGTTGCAGCGCTAGCCAATAGGAGCACGAGTGTTACAAAGTGATGTCACTATGTTTCTGAAGTAAACAAAGGAAAGTGACTTCCTGGAGTCGTGTTGTCACCTTTAGCTAAAACGTAGAAAGTAACCTCCCATCACATAACATTCTAAAAAACTAAAACCACACAACTTCTCATGGGTACTGCATTTGTATTTAGCTTTTTTTATAATAAATTCAGACGTAGAAGGGCACTCAGGGATTGTTGCAAAGTTCAAGTTAAAAATAATGTGTGATTGGGATCTGTTCCAACATTTAATGGGACTTTCTTGGCCCCTCGCTTCACTGAGTTTCATGCCAGTAGTTTTTCTGTTTTCCTGCTGCAGGCGGACCAACAAACCAAAATAAAAACAAAACCTTATTATGTTGTTTGCTATCCCAAAGTGAACTCCATGATAAACCAGACCGTGACAATCTACTGCACGACAAAACACGTTTCCTTTAACAATGCAAGTAAAACCAGCCTGAGGGGTTGATGATGCCTCCTGACTGCTGGCATCGGGCCACGTTGACCACTCTTTAATTTGTAATTACTTAATGGCGCGTCCGTCCACAAGGACGTCCAAATGAAACCTGGGCGGGTTACCAAGTATCAGACCGGGCCAAAAAAGTTAGATTAATATTACATATTGTCTGGGCTCTTCTACTTCAGAGAGGTTGTTCAACAAACCGTGGCGTGCTAGATTTAAAGGGGACATGTCTTGCTTTTTTTCAGGTTCATGTTTTTTTTAGCCCAGAACATTTCTATTAGAAAAAACAGCTTCAGAAATGATGAAAATTAAAAAAACACAAATGTACCAAAACACATGAAGAAACATCTTCGCCAACTCGAAGAAAACATGCAAAGCCATTTACTAAAAGCGCTGATTAAAGGAAACACTGCAAATACAAAACGCTGACCAACTCTATAACCCTGCACGTCAATGTTTTTGTTTTTCAAAGTGCAGCGCGTTTGTCCTAATTAAAATGCTTTGGGCCACGGTAACGTGTTTGCACTAGCCGGCATCCATACTTAAATTCTGAGTTTTTTCACGAACTATAACCGCATTCCCCTCACTCCATATTATTATTATTATTGTTCAACTACAACAGCGCTAAGTAAATGTAAAGGAGGAAAGAGCTGCCTTCATTTTAAGTGAATTTCAAACAAACTGAAAGATTGGCAATGAAGTTGACTTTGACTTGAACTAAGTAAAAGTACTTAGTTTCCTCACCTTTTCCGTTCTCCACGTCCTGCGATGCGATGACGAACCCGAATCCCTCGCCCGGTTTCCTCCTCAGCTCCACGTCAAACCCTCGGAGGGGCCTGGTCTTCCCCCCCCTCTCCAGACCCAGGTCCTGCGTCGGGACGGCCCCCCGCCTCGTCCTCCAGCCCCGTGTTGATCCAGTCGCGCGGCTCCATGGTCAGCGTCACCGGGATGGACTCCAGGAAGCTGGTGCTCTGGACCAGGGAGGAGGAGCGCAGGTGGGGCGCCGGGGAGGGGGGGGCGCTGTGGGAGGTCCGGGGAACAGAGAGGGAGTCAGGGAGGAAGTGGGAGGAGTCTGAGCCTACAGGGAGGAAGTGGGAGGAGTCTGAGCCTACAGGGGGGGGGAGGGGGGGCGGAGCAGAGGAGGGGGGAGTCTCCTCAGGGAGCCGGGGGAGACGGACGAGTGATAGATGCCTGGTGAGAGAGAGAGATTGTTAGAAAAATATCACTGGTCACCGGCTTGAGCTTCAATCTCAGGATCCATGTATTTGTGATCCTCTCCAGAATGGAAGTAGTCATCACATACAGAGCATCAACTAGTTCCTGAACAGTGTCCTTCACATGCTGATATCCAAGAGAGGGAGTTACACAGTCACAAGATGGAGGAATAGAAAGCAGTATTCAATGTTTACTTCAGATTAGCTCCACGTCAGAAATGATCATGCTTGTCATATGTCTATCTCCATAGAGGCTGAATCATCATGTTAATCACATAGCTATCATATGCCTCAAACAGTCCTGATGCTCTTCTAGGTAATCATACATCCTGTTATGTACACAGCTGCAGTTGGGATACCTTTGTTATCATGTTACTCTCATATTGGAAGAGGACATTCAGAATTTTCGCAACAGAGATGATATATTTGTATTTACATTATATTTGTATTGTATGGAGATGGTTTACACACAGAGAATATCTGATGAATATATGTGACTTTATATGAAAGTGAATGCGTTACCTCCTCTGTAAACCAGCAGGATGACCTCCGCCTGCTTGGTGTGCTCCTGCAGGATAGTTTGCACCTGTGAACAAGCATAATGTAATATGTTATATATCATCACTCAACTCAATTCATGTTTTCAAATTGGTCTTGAAAAACAGCCAGAGAAAACCCACAGTGTTGTTTTTTTTAATAATTCAGCCACTTGTTTACAGGCTTTTTTTTTTATTAACATTTTCTTCCTGAAAAGATGAATGAACATTTTTTAATTTTTAAATTTTATTAATGTGTAATGTTTTATTTATTTTTGTATATTCATGCATCCCATCCCGAAACTGCATTTAACTTGCACCATATTATTTATATTTTATTTTTTATTTTTCATTGATTTTGTATTGCATTTTATTGAATTATTTTTGTGTCTTATATACTCAGTAGTATGTTGCCGTTGTGGAAACGACACTAAAGCCTCTGAATCTTTGAATGCAAAATGTATTCTGGCTTTTCATGTGCTTTGGATAAAAGGTTCAGCTAGATGCAGTGTATTTGAGATATGTGAAATGGGACCCCCTGATAAACGATATGAAGCTTGAGAATAGCCTGATTAATGTCCCCCCCCCCCCTCACCTGTGTGAAGCTGAGGCTCTGGACGTCCGCCCCGTTGATCTTCACGATGGCGTCCCCCGGCTGCAGGGCGCCGCACTGCTTCCTGTCCCAGACCCTCCTCACAAGGCTCATGCGGCCCCCCGGCCCCCCCCCGCCGTCACGCTGAAGCCCAGACCCTGATCCCCCTCCGTCTGAGAGAGAGCCACCGGGACCAGCTCCCCCCCGCTCAGACTGCCCACACTCACCCCCCCGGGAGAGGAGAGAGGGCTGCTGGGGTCAGAAGAAGAGTCAGAGAGAGGGTTAGACGAAGAGTCAGAGTGAAGAGTTAGAAGAAGAGTCAGAGTGAAGAGTCACGGCCCGTCCACACAGCAGCGTTAAAAAGATCTTGGAGGTGGGCGTATCTGAAGCTTGGGGATTTTTTGCGAGCAACACGACCAACAACCAATCACATGAATCTCCCGCCCCCGACATACGAAGCAAAAAAGCCCAAAGTAAACTGGATATAAACTCCCCAAACAGGTGAAAACATACCACTGTCTCTGCCACCTCCCTCCATGCCTGGCTCCTCCGGTTTGTATCCCGGTAGGTAAATAGGGACTGGTCATAAAGCACCGGGTGATTCCCTACCGCTAATTTCTCCTCCATTTTTTGGAACATGAGGAAATGACCTGCAGTATGTCTCTCCCAGCATACACGCGGTTTGATTGGCTAGCGCTTGAACTGTCAGATTTGCATAAACGGGATTTGATTGGCTGACGCTTCCACCTCAGCTTCAAAAGTTGAACATTGCTCAACTTTTGAATCCTGAAAATCCTGAAAATCTCCGCTCTGCTGCCCACAATGCAGTTCGGCGAAAAGTGAGGCAAAGTGACGTCACCCCATTCAAAGTGAATGGGCAGAAGCGTTGGAAGATTTTTTTAGCGCTGCTGTGTGGACGGGCCGTAAGAGACAGAGTCAGAGTCAGAGTCAGAGTAAGAGACAGGACCAGAGTCAGAGTCAGAGTCAGAGTCAGAGCTTCTGATTGAATAAGTGAACATATTGTGATTATGAGATATCATAAAAATGATGTTTTGCACATGAAATGATTCTGGTTATTGCTCAGTAGGATTGTCAGGAAGAGAAGAATATATTACTTACAAGCCATTGACGCCCCGGTGGTTCTGGTGGTTCTGGTGGTTCTGGTGGTGGTTCTGGTGGTGCTGCTGGTGCTGCTGGTGGTTCTGGTGCTCGGGGGTCACTGGGGGTCTCAGGTGGGAGCTCTGCGGTCTGAAGAGGTGCGGGGACGTGCTGTGGGGGGAGGAGGAGGGTCTGTGGGGGGAGGAGGAGGCTCTGTGGGGGGAGGAGGAGGGTCTGTGGGGGGAGGAGGAGGCTCTGTGGGGGGAGAGGGGCAGCGGCAGGCGGGAGGTGGACATGTTGCCGGAGGACAGGTCGCTCTCTGAAGACTTGAAGCCGTAGCGGGGCGGGGGCTGGGGGGCGGAGAGAGAGTTGTTGTTGTGGTTACGGATCATCGAAGACCTGAGGAAAAAGAGAAAACAAAGTCAAAATCAACAAAGTTCGAAGTTCAAAGGCTTTATTGTCGAATGCACAGCTACAGTGTAGCTAGATCTGAAGTCCCAGGCCCCACATAAATATATATATATAAGACATAAAACTCATTTGAACTTGTAGTAACACCTTGAAATTGAACTTAATTTCTACTATATTTGAAATCCCGTTCAAATCACTGAGGTAAACTACTAATTATTTGAGTGTGATACAAATTCAAAATGAAGCCCCTCCGCAGTGCGTGCAGGAGTCACCTGTGTGATCCGCTGGCAGTTTGTAAAGACTAATAAAGAAATTATAGGGAAACGAATACAATAAAATAAAAATGTGTTTCTACATATTCAAAGACATGCTGCATCAATGGCTTATTATTTAAAAATGTTCAAAAAACGACCAAATTTAAAATGAATGCACCTCAGCTGTGTGTGCAGGTGTAGTAAACTTTGATATAAAATGTCAATCAAATCAGTTCAATTAACTGCTCAAGTTTACAAAACCTTAAAAAAGTGCATCACACGTTCACCCTCTGCATGCGTGTGACTGTCTGTAAAGACTACATTTGAAGCGATTGAAAAACTTTGATATAAAATAAAACTTCAATCCAATTCAAATCAACTTTAAATCAACTACTAATTATTTAAAAACTTTAAAAAGTTCATCAAAAGCTCCAAGTGAAGCCCCTCAGCCTGCAGGAGTTACCTGTGACGGTCTGATAAACAAACATTTGAAGTTATAGAAAAACTTTGAAATAAAAATTCAACCCTATTCAAATGAATTTTAAAGGTCACCTATTGTGCAAAATCCACTTCTTCATGTCTCTTCTACATCAACATGTGTCCCCTCTTCTTCATGTCTCTTCTACATCAACATGTGTCCCCTCTTCTTCATGTCTCTTCTACATCAACATGTGTCCCCTCTTCTTCATGTCTCTTCTACATCAACATGTGTCCCCTCTTCTTCATGTCTCTTCTACATCAACATGTGTCCCCTCTTCTTCATGTCTCTCTTCATCAACATGTGTCCCCTCTTCTTCATGTCTCTTCTACATCAACATGTGTCCCCTCTTCTTCATGTCTCTTCTACATCAACATGTGTCCCCTCTTCTTCATGTCTCTTCTACATCAACATGTGTCCCCTCTTCTTCATGTCTCTTCTACATCAACATGTGTCCCCTCTTCTTCATGTCTCTTCTACATCAACATGTGTCCCCTCTTCTTCATGTCTCTTCTTCATCAACATGTGTCCCCTCTTCTTCATGTCTCTTCTACATCAACATGTGTCCCCTCTTCTTCATGTCTCTTCTTCATCAACATGTGTCCCCTCTTCTTCATGTCTCTTCTACATCAACATGTGTCCCCTCTTCTTCATGTCTCTTCTACATCAACATGTGTCCCCTCTTCTTCATGTCTCTTCTTACATCAACATGTGTCCCCTCTTCTTCATGTCTCTTCTACATCAACATGTGTCCCCTCTTCTTCATGTCTCTTCTTCATCAACATGTGTCCCCTCTTCTTCATGTCTCTTCTACATCAACATGTGTCCCCTCTTCTTCATGTCTCTTCTTCATCAACATGTGTCCCCTCTTCTTCATGTCTCTTCTACATCAACATGTGTCCCCTCTTCTCCATGTCTCCTCTACATCAAAATGTGTCCCCTCTTCTTCATGTCTCTTCTACATCAACATGTGTCCCCTCTTCTTCATGTCTCTTCTACATCAACATGTGTCCCCTCTTCTTCATGTCTCTTCTACATCAACATGTGTCCCCTCTTCTTCATGTCTCTTCTACATCACCATGTGTCCCCTCTTCTTCATGTCTCTTCTTCATCACATGTGTCCCCTCTTCTTCATGTCTCTTCTACATCAAACATGTGTCCCCTCTTCTTCATGTCTCTTCTACATCAACATGTGTCCCCTCTTCTTCATGTCTCTTCTTCATCAACATGTGTCCCCTCTTCTTCATGTCTCTTCTACATCAACATGTGTCCCCTCTTCTTCATGTCTCTTCTACATCAACATGTGTCCCCTCTTCTTCATGTCTCTTCTACATCAACATGTGTCCCCTCTTCTTCATGTCTCTTCTACATCAACATGTGTCCCCTCTTCTTCATGTCTCTTCTACATCAACATGTGTCCCCTCTTCTTCATGTCTCTTCTACATCAACATGTGTCCCCTCTTCTTCATGTCTCTTCTACATCAACATGTGTCCCCTCTTCTTCATGTCTCTTCTTCATCAACATGTGTCCCCTCTGTGTAAAGAGACTCAGAAAGTTTCAGGAACAAAGATTCTCTCTCTTTTTGTCCTGATCCATTTCTATAAAAACCTGTCTGAAAATGAGCTGATCAGATTTTGGCCACTTTATGATGTCATAACGATGTTTTGGCTTGGGTAACCAACCAAGGTACCCCCCCCTCCCCACCTTATCCCCTGAATCTCCTCCTAGAGCACCATTGTGTTCTTTGTAACCAAATCTCTCTCAGAGGGGCGTGGGGAGGGGCTCCTTATTTTCATCTAAAGTAACAGACACAGAATCAGCACTTTTGAAACAGGGCTGAAACAGAGGGGATTATGGGATGTTGCAATGATCTGTTTGGTGTTTGGAGGCAAACACTTCAGAGACATGTTTTGTGTATATCTGAGACCTATAATATATTGATGAAAAACAGTATAATAGGGGACCTTTAAACGTTTAAAAAGTGCATCAAAATGAAGCCCCTCCTCACCTGTGTGACCCGATGGCCGACACCACCTCGCTGTCGCTCTGGCTGGCGAGCGTCGGGTCGAAGGCCTGCAGGCGGGTCAGGCTCCTCAGGTGGCGGGGGGGCCGGGTGGGGGGCGACGAGGCGGCGTTGCTCATGCTGGAGCGCCTGTACGAGGGGGGGGGGTCTGGAGGAGAAAGACACGGTGTTGCCGTTGGCGTCCAGATCGACCCCCCCCGGCTCCGTGTAGCTGTAGTTTAAGTGCAGGTGATGGTGGGGGGGGCGTGGGGGTCGGGAGGCGGGGCTTAGGCTGGGTGGTGGTGGGGGGGGGGACCAGGAGCCTGGGGGGGGGGCAGCTTGGGGCAGCCGTCGGGGGTGTAGAGCATGGGGTAACCCCGGGTAACCTCCACGTCCACACTGTGGCCCGAGGGCACCGCCTGCAGCAGCTCCACCGCCTCTTTGTGGGAAAACCCCAACACACACACTCCGCTGATGAACACCAGGATGTCCGCTGGGGGGAGACAAGAGAGAGAGAGTTAGTCATACTTAGAGGAGGGAGAAGTACTCGGAAGTTGTAATTGAGTTCTTTCACCAATTTAAGAATGATAGGAGAATATCATTTTGTGGGTGAAGTACTTTAAATATCTGTGTTTAACAACGTGATTACTGCTCAACACTTTGACCATTTTCATATGCCTGAGTGTGCAGATAAGTGCAGTCTGTGTGTGTGTGTGTGTGTGTGTGTGTGTGTGTGTGTGTGTGTGTGTGTGTGTGTGTGTGTGTGTGTGTGTGTGTGTGTGTGTGTGTGTGTGTGTGTGAGGACTAATCCCAGCAGCTAATCCCTGTAACCCTATTATCAGATATGAAGTGGATCAGTGCTGCAGCTTCAGAGGTAATATCTGCCTGTGTGGACGCTTCTCTGTGTGTGTGTGAGAGTGTGTGTACCGTATGTGTGTGTGTTATGATGTTCGGCTCTCAGGATTAGGTGCGGACTGAGATACACACTTACTGAGATCAGAGAGGTTTAATACCTCAGACAGGAAGTAGAGAGATGTTCAAACACACGGCTGATTAATGTTTCTCATTTCACTTTCTGCAGGATATCAGCGACCAGCATACAGCCCTCAGTCTGCAGATATGTCGTGTACTATTGCTAATAATTAAGATTACTAACATGTATTTAATCTACATATCATGGTATGCACCTGAACCAGTGGAGGAAGAAGTACATAGACCTTTTACTTAAAGTGGACCTATCATGCTATATTTGAATAATATAGTGTAGGACCATACCTATATAAGGCATATTTATACTTTTTTTTTTTCAAAATACCAAACAGATCATGCATTTTAGCCATGCCTCATTTTGCTCAATTTGACATTTTTTAGCTCTGTTTTTGTAAGGGCAGATTCAGTGAGAACAGCACCATCTACAGGCCTGGCATATGTACTACAGCGTCTCCAGCGCTTTCGAACGGCAATGGCCGTGGCTGTCTCCTCCTGATTGGTGGAGTTGGCCCAATAGCCGTAGCGCCACCGTCCTGACGTCAGGACAGTGTTCAAATCTGGATCAGTTTTTATCAGATCCGTTGCAGCCCCTTTTTTAGAGATTTGGGTATGGAGGAAAATAGAGAGGGTTGTGTTTTCTGACACTTGGTGAGTTCCCTGGAACACCGGGGACACATATTCATGTGTAAAAGACGTACAAAAGTGCATTTTGCATGATAGGTCCCCTTTAAGGAAAAGTAGAAATACTGTTGTCTAAAAATACTTATACACAAAAAAATGCTTAATTTAGAATGCTATGTAAGCAAAATAAGTAATAACAGCAAATATACTTTGAGTATAGAAAGTAAAAGTACTTCTCATGACGATGGGCTCTTTTTATATTATTTTTGAATATTATAATTCTGTTTTATCACTAACTGCATGCAACCCACTTCTGCATGTAATTGATGTTTCATTTAAAACGTCAATGCACCTTTCATTATCGTATTTTAAATCTGTCTTATACTATTTTAGCGTGCTTTCATTTTCTATTCTAACGGCACTTTAAATACTCGTTTGATGTTATTTTTAATGCGTTTCTTTTGCACTTTGTCTCAGTGCGTTAAGCTTTTTGAAAAGCACTTTTGATTCGTCTTTTTGTCTTAATGTGCTATATTAATAAACGTATCCTGCTTTCCCGCTGCCTTTTAATGAATCAAATACCTATTTAAGTTTAAGTTTACACTGCACTGTATCTTCTATTGTTGTATTCTATCCGGTCTTATTTCTATTGACTGTTTTAATTACATTTGAATGTTCTTCTTTTGCACTCCATGCTTTAATTAGAGGAGGGAGAAATACTCAGATCTTGTACTTGAGTAAAAGTAGAAGTACTCAGATCTTGTACTTGAGTAAAAGTAGAAGTACTCAGATCTTGTACTTGAGTAAAAGTAGAAGTACTCAGATCTTGTACTTGAGTAAAAGTAGAAGTACTCAGATCTTGTACTTGAGTAAAAGTAGAAGTACTCAGATCTTGTACTTGAGTAAAGAGTGTAGGAATACTCTGTTACAGTAAAAGTCCTGCATTCAAAATGTATTCAATACATGTAGTGGATGAAAAAACAAAGCGGAATACAATGGAAAATACTCAAGTAAAGTACAAGTAGCTCAACATTTTACTTATGTACAGTACTTGAGTAAATGTACTTAGTTACTTCCCACCTCTGGCTTAAAAGTTCTTCTTTTTAAAGCACTTTAAAATTCCTTGATGCTGAAATGCATTATATAAATCGACTTGCCTTTACCCTTTGCTCAACTGCTCTCTTCAACCATCTGATATATATCTACATATTGTATGATCTGTTTGGTGCATGATCTGTATCTGCTGGTTGTGTTTTCACCTGTCTGGAGCACCGAGGGTCCGCTGGACGTCACGCTGTAGATCTGCAGGAACTCTCTGGGCCGGCTGCCTCCCACGATGTTGAACCCAAACCCTCGGGAACCTTTCGTGAGCAGAGCGTGAACCGGGAAGCCTCGCAGCTCCAGGGGCTGGTCCGTGAACCCTGGAGATCACCGGAGATAAAAGAAAACCAGAAACACAGAGAGGGTGAGAAGATCACTTCCAGGGAAAAGTGGTAAAAGACTTTAAGGCGGCAAGCAGTTCACCAGAGCAAAATCAGAGAAAGAGAGAAAGAGTCCTGCGTGTTTTAAAGACTAAAATGTTTATGTGTGTGTGTTATGATGTTCGGCTCTCAGGATTAGGTGCGGACTGAGATACACACTTACTGAGATCAGAGAGGTTTAATACCTCAGACAGGAAGTAGAGAGATGTTCAAACACACGGCTGATTAAAGTTTCTCATTTCACTTTCTGCAGGATATCAGCGACCAGCATACAGCCCTCAGTCTGCAGATATGTCGTGTACTATTGCTAATAATTAAGATTACTAACATGTATTTAATCTGCATATCATGGTATGCACCTGAACCAGTGGAGGAAGAAGTACACAGACCTTTTACTTAAGGAAAAGTAGAAATACTGTTGTCTAAAAATACTTATACACAAAATAAATCTTAATTTAGAATGCTATGTAAGCTAAATAAGTATTAACAGCAAATATACTTTGAGTATAGAAAGTAAAAGCACTTCTCATGACGAAGAAGGTTTAGAGATTCAGATCATTGCAAACCAATCACCAGATGGCTTTTAACAAAATATACTTATAAATAGAAAGGTTCACACACACACACACACACACACACACACACACACACACACACACACACACACACACACACACACACACACACACACACACACACACACACACACACACACACACACACACACACACACACACACACACACCAAAGTGTATAGTGCATTAAAAGCAGGGTCCATTACGTCGTAAAAAATCAGATGCATAATCCATTAGACTTCCCAAAGCACTGCATTCTGGGTATTCTTTATACACTATCGACCTTAACTTTGCATTAACAAAAAACCTAGTGAAAAGGATTTTATTTGTTGTCATATTTTTTTAGCGGGGAATGTTTGTAAAGTGGAGCAGCAATTTCAGGTTGCATACATTTAAACAATTGCTTGTGGTTGCACACATACATCCACAAATCATTTTATTTAACTTTATTTGCATTTTTCATCAACAATGAATATAAGTTTCTATTAATTAAATATTATATATTGTACAATGTGCACATTTTTATTTTCACTTCTTACACATGTTTAATTAAGTGTCTAATGTTTATATAATTATTTGTATTCTATTTTATTTGTATATTTTTCTTGCAAATTTGTAATTTAACCTAATACATTTATATAATTATTTTAGTTTTATTTTATTCTGAAATAAAGCAGATATCATAAAACCTAATTCCCAGTATTAACATCATTACAAAATATGTGTGTGAAGAGAAAATACATTTGTTATCCTTCTGTTTTTATCTATTAATCCTGAGATTATAGTTATAGTTATATACTATACTCTACATGCAGGTCATTGTGTTCATAACGGAGACTCTACCGCCCTCTGCTGGTGAGACAGGGGTACTGCACTGTACTGGGACAGCACAGAACAGATGGGTGTACAATCAGCCTGTCAGACAAACTAGATTACGTCCTTGTTCTTTTAACAGCGCGTCATGTAACCAAATTATGAAATGCAGTCACATGACGGAGGCAGCAGAGCGCCTGGCAGAGAGCCAGCAGAGCTTTAGGCCTTAATCACTCGCTCCATTCAGATAAAAAAGCTCATTCCAGCTCATTCGACTGCAACAAGCTGCCTCTGTCTGTTACTTCCGCTCTTCACAAATATGGGGCTTCATTCAGACAGATACATGTGTCACCAGTGTTGCAATGATTTCATCCGAAGAAAAGGAATAAAGGACGGGGCTCACATTCGTTCTGGTAGACGCTCTCCCTGCTCGGGGCTCGAGGGCTCTGCCAGTTGGTCCTCTTTGTGTGACGACTAGACAAAGCAGAAGAAAAGATTTGCTCTTCAGAAACATAAGAGTTCTGGATATAATGTGGCAGCATGTGAACATAATACAGTCAGAACAGAGAAGCCTGGTGTAGATAGACGGGGAAATAGCAGCTTTGCCGTATACAGACATTATTATTTTTGGAAATATACATATTCTCTTCTATGCCTCGATCGATCCCATGTGTCATATCCGTCCAGAGGTGTCAACTTGAGTCACATGACTTGGATTCAAGTCAGAATTTAGTCACAAATTTGATGATTTTAGAAAAAAAATATTTCAAACTTGGAATCTAACACCAATGACTCGTGCTTGACTTTACTTGGACCTTAGCATTTTGATTTGAAAACACTCAATACCTTTCCCCAAGCCCAGAGATGAAATGTTTTTAAAGGACTGCCACTAATCAATTTATTTCCTGAATCAGCTTATGTTGACGACACTAGATCACATCGGGTTGCAGGAGAGAACCACAAAGAACTATCATTCAACACACTGAATGTAACCTTTTATTTGAATAAGGATGATTTTGTTTCCATACAAAAATACACGTGCAGGCCGAAAAATAAAGACTGAGACGCACTGTGACCTGTTTTGAACTCTAAATTGAAATAGGATGTACCTGAGACTCAGAGCTTCACTGCAAAGACTTGAGAACATCTTGTGACTTGAGAAACAATAACTTCTCCTACCTTTGTTTAGTCTGGTAATTATAAAGAGACAGTTGGATTAGCCTGTCTCTGTGCAAAGGTAATACAATCTGAGTAAAAACCCCTTTAAAGCTCACTGATCAACATGTTTTATTCTGATATATTTAGGACTAAAACCACCAGACTCAGGGACAGTTTCATCCCACAGACTATTCTGCACTATTTCTACTATATTCTATTTTATTGTATTTACTTGCACTATTATCTGTTTTATTGTGTTTCACTGTTGGAGGAGTCTGTGACCTCAGATTTAACTACACTGTAGCTATGTACACATGACAATAAAAGCCTTGAATTGAATCTTGAATTTGTGGACCGTGTGCAGACCCTCACTCTGAGTAGTAGGAGTCCCCGGGGTCGCTGAAGGCCTGCTCCCAGAGGTCGGGGGTCACTCCTCTGAGCCGCCGGCCGATCATCCCGCTCTCAAACCCTCGACTCTCCCCACCGCTGCTGGAGGCCCGGGGCCGGCCGGGGGGGCGGTGTGGGGGGGGGATGCTGCTGCTGAGCCCTGCAGAGCCTCCTGCAATATCAGAGACAACCACAAGCATTACAAATCTACAAATTAACAGTGATGTTTTTGTGTGCATGGAAATGGTCTGCAAAGGCTCCTGTGTTCCCTCCAGAAGGAGTTTCTCTCACACACACACTGGTCTACATTAGACTCCTTTGTTTACTTCTGGAACATAGTGACATCATTGTGTAACACTTGCGTTACTATTGGCTAGCTCTCCAACACATTGTACGTGACCCTGGAAAACAGTTAGATCTTTAAATCGGATTTTAAAAAGCCAGCATTGTCTAAAATCTTGGCTCTTGTGTCATTACGTTTCATTTAGCAGACACTTTTATCTCACATTTGGATATTTCATTTGTTTCAGATTATTGTGTAATCTTTATGTATGTCTCACTGTCTCAATTGGACTCTTTGTTTACTCCTGGAACATAGTGACATCATTGTGTAACACTCGCGCTTCTATCGGCTAGTGCTCCAACACATTGTACATGACCTTGGAAAACAGTTAGATCTTTAAATCAGATTTTTTTTAAAAGCCAGCATTGTCTATAATCTTGTCTCTTGTGTCAATTTGTCCCTCTTTATTTCACTTAACAGATGCAGGAGGTGAACAAGTTCCTGCTGAACCTGTGTTAACGACCTGATGCTGTGCAATCTGATGTCAGGCGAAAAACCCTGAGGTCAGCATTTCTCTGAGGAGGCGGAGTGTGTGAGTGTGCGAGTGTGTGAGTGTGTGAGTGTGTGACCATGCATGCAGTATACCACCAGCAGAACAGAGAGACACGCATGCTGTCTCCTCTCTGTCCTTGTATCTGTCCTTCCTGATCTGACGTAACCAGGGGAACCACCCACACCTCAGAGCATGACTCAGCAGAACTCAGTGTGATCCACGCTGCCTGTGGCTCTGACTCTGGATCTGAGCCCACCTCCATTCTGTCTGCTGCACCACTCTGCCTCCACCTTTCCTCTCAGCCCTGTCCACACCCTCCCTCCCTCCCTCCCTCATCTCCTAATCTCCTACTCGCCTTCTGTTCGGCTCCTGTGAACTTGTGAGACTCTCAAACACCGCCTTCATGATTTTATCTGCACACATTGAGATGAAGTGGTTTGGAAAAGGCCGTTTTGAGGTTGTCATGCATTGCCGTTTAATTAATAAGGTTATTTGTCTCCATTAAATTCATTTTAGTGCTATTGTTCCTGCACACTTTTCCAACATATGTTGAAAACAACATAAACAAAGAACAACTTCTAATCTACTGCATATAAAAGGTGAATAATGTACTACTACTAATGTCTACTCCACGACATTTATTGAATAGCTTGTGATATAATGTCTGATACTTAAAAGTACATTTAGCTAATTATATGATATCTAAAGTGAGATTTGGAATATAGGACTTTTACGTGTAAGGGAGTATTTTATAATGTTTGTTTTTGGTATTGTTACTTCAGTAAAGGATCTGAATGCTACCTCTTCCTCTGTCCTTGTCACATGACCCCGCCCCCCCCCCCCCGGAGATCCAGCGATCGATGCCCCCCCCCGCCCGCGGAGAGTTAGAGCATACTAATCTGCAGATGATTGATTACTGTGAGGATCAGAGACTGAGCTGCAGATGGAGCGCTGCAGGGCTTCTTCTACCAGAGGAAGACCTCAGACCCTTTACTTAAGTAAGTACCATTAAAAGGTAAACGTATATATGTTGTGATGGAAACTTCTGAAGCAATGGAGACTCAGAGAGACACGGAGAGAACTGGAACTTTGATGGCAAACACTGCTGGTTTATTTGGAGCTTCGGCCGGAGAATTCACAAGACATGTTCTGAAGATCTCTACCCCAGACCCATGTGTTTAGCTGGTTCTGAGAGAATAATCAACATTGTGCATAACAAGATAAGTAAGGGATAATGTGCAGCGACGCGGTCATTATGGGTAAAAGAACACCGACAGGCAGATCAGGAGCCCGACGCGAAGCGGAGGGATCTAGATCGGCATGAAGGTGTTCTTTTACCCATAATGACCAAGTCTCTGCACATTATCCCGCTTATTACATGGCCACATTCTCAACAAAGTAACGATATGACTCCCAATATTAATTGAAATGCTTTTATTGTTTTAGAAAATGTTTTTAATGATTAAAAACATAGTTGTAACTGATTTAAAATGACATTCATCCGCTACGAAAAATAGTCCGTTGTTGATGTTTGAACTAGGCTGTTGCAACGGCAGGAACTGCTTCGATAGCAACTAACTCTGTGCATGTTAGCATTTGAGCCTTAGCTGTAATTAACATTAACCTGAACGTTTCCATTAATAGTACAATGTGACATGGTGAATGGGAAATCTTTAGGGATATTGAGATCAACGTTTCTGTCCTCGATCCTCTCTCCTTGCGGGGGTTTCGCAGATGACACATCTGAAAACAATATTGCCACAGTTGTATCGCTACCGCTAATGTGTGTGTAAGGACAGACAACATGGAAAGGCACTGACCCGATGTGGTGCTCTTGTCTTGTCAGTTCGAAAAGCAAACTGCATGCAGTTTGCTTTTCAGCCAAACTGTATACAGTTCAATCGACCGGACTTCTTTCTGCAGATTTGAGCGTCCTTAACAACGGTCATAAATCCTTGACAGCGGTCTGTCTGTTCTGGATTAACAACGTGTCACGTGTTCTGAATTGACCAATCAGAATCGAGTATTCAACTAAACCATGTAATAAAGCACTATAATAACACCTCTATCAGCTGACGCCAACAGGCAGGAACAGGTCACAGAGACCCGCCTTGTCACAGGTCTGTGCTCAGCGAGGGCAGTACAAACTGATACACCGGGTCAAAGTTGGGCCTAGGAAAGTATTTCCCCAACAAACTGATACACCGGGTCAAAGTAATGGGCCTAGGAAAGTATTTCCCCAACAAACTGATACACCGGGTCAAAGTAATGAGCCTAGGAAAGTATTTCCCCAACAAACTGATACACCGGGTCAAAGTAATGGGCCTAGGAAAGTATTTCCCCAACAAACTGATGCACCGGGTCAAAGTAATGGGCCTAGGAAAGTATTTCCCCAACAAACTGATACACCGGGTCAAAGTAATGAGCCTAGGAAAGTATTTCCCCAACAAACTGATACACCGGGTCAAAGTAATGAGCCTAGGAAAGTATTTCCCCAAACAAACTGATACACCGGGTCAAAGTAATGGGCCTAGGAAAGTATTTCCCCAACAAACTGATACACCGGGTCAAAGTAATGGGCCTAGGAAAGTATTTCCCCAACAAACTGATACACTGGGTCAAAGTAATGGGCCTAGGAAAGTATTTCCCCAACAAACTGATACACCGGGTCAAAGTAATGGGCCTAGGAAAGTATTTCCCCAACAAACTGATACACCGGGTCAAAGTAATGGGCCTAGGAAAGTATTTCCCCAACAAACTGATACACTGGGTCAAAGTAATGGGCCTAGGAAAGTATTTCCCCAACAAACTGATACACCGGGTCAAAGTAATGGGCCTAGGAAAGTATTTCCCCAACAAACTGATACACCGGGTCAAAGTAATGATCCTGGGAAAGTATTTCCCCAACAAACTGATACACTGGGTCAAAGTAATGGGCCTAGGAAAGTATTTCCCCAACAAACTGATACACTGGGTCAAAGTACCCTACCTTTAATGTGATTTTTTATATTATTTTAAAGCACAGTCAACCCTAAAACATCTCATGTTTATATGAATGTTTTTTCCAATGTATGTGATCATTAATTTAAATTTTAATTTAACCATATTTATTTAAATAATTGTATTCAATTCTTATCTTATTTTACCTGTTTATTGCAAATTTTTACTTGAACTTTTGCTATTGTAAATATTACTATTTAATTCGATTTTTTTCCCTTTGATTGCACATTTCTACTTTGACTACTTCTATTTATATACATATTTTAGTTCTAGTTTTTGTTTTATTTTATATTTTTTGTTTAGTTTTATTATTAAAGGTCACCTATCATGCTATTTTTAGGCAATAGCATAGGTCTCAGATATATAAAAATATATAAAAAACATGTCTATGAAGTGTTTTGCTCAAAATACCAAACAGATCACCCATTCTAGCCATGCCTCATATCCCTCTTTTTCACTTCCTGTTTCAAAAGTGCTGATTTGGGGTATAAAGCTTTAAAAAAATAAAAAAGGAGGGGGCTGAGCTCATGCGGGACCCGGCAGCTACTGTCTAAACTAAACACTGCCGTGATGAAACGCCATATCATGGATTATCAAGGATTGTTTCTGAAACAGTATGGAGCTCAAAGGCTTTCTCTCTTGCCGGTTATACCACAAGGTGAGTTCCTTTTTATTTCCTGCTTCTTCACACACATGCTCTCCAGTACAGGTTAGCTCTGAGTGTTAGCGATGCTAATGTAAACATCGACCATATTACGTCCAAAACAGTCGGGCATTGTTTCTGATAGCAACGTTTCTGATAGGCCCGTGGGTCCACATTTCAGATATTACGTCATATCGGACGCAAATCTGGATCAGCTCCGTTGTAGCCCCGTTTTTAGAGATTTGGGTACGGAGGAAAAGAGAGAGGGTTTTATTTTCTGATGCTGCGTGAGTTCCCTGACACACCAGGGACATATATTTATGTATAAAAGACATCAAAAAGTGCATTTTGCATGATAGGTCCCCTTTAAAAGGAAACCCAATTTCGTCCAGAATACAATCATTCTGTTTCAGATTCAGATTTAGGAGTCGCACTGGCTCAAACGCTAATATTTTAAACATTCGTGATGTGTGTTTCTTTTTATTATCTAAAAGTCTGTAGAAGTTTATTCTACCGCGACCAAGACACTGATTTCGTAGCCAAATTGGGAAAAATTCAGACAAATACTAAATGATGCATAGTATTATAAATATGAATCCATTTTGTTTTTGCAATATTTTGGTTCCACCGACCTGAGAGTCCCGAGTCGTCCTCGCTGTTCTCCGCGTCCTCTGCACTTTTCTCCAGGTTGCTGAGGGACTTGCTCCTCGTTCTGAAGTTCCTGAGCAGGTTCCGGTGCTCCTGGTAGGTGATGGGGGGGCTCTCTGCGCTGATGTGCACGGGGCGGGGGGTGCCGTAGTAATTCCCTGAGACAGAGGAGGACACAGGACAGGCGTTGTGAGAAATGACACAAGTCACCGTCTTTATAATGATGATATTTGTTTTGCTAAACCTGCAGCCTCAACTCAAAGCAGATTAGAAATACATTCTGACAAGGCGAGTTTATTTTTAGATTGATTTATTAAGGAAGCTCAAGGTGCCCTTAAATAATACATGTTGGCATTTATTATGAAAAGAGTAAAACTAACATGTTTCTAATCTAATAACTCGAGGGACAAAACTGATATCGTTGTCCTTGCAGAGAAATTACGTCTTAATGGTTTTACAGGTTGCATTAATCATCATGTCTGTCTTTCAGCACCCTTTGCACTCCGCACTATTATTACATGTTTCTATTAACTAAATTATCAGTGATTTATTGTGCATTATAACCCATTTTGTAAAGATTTTTTCATTGATTTATTGTAGTCTAATTCCAAACAGCTTTCAATTGAATAGGTTTTTATTGTAAATATTATTACATGTTTTTTGTAGTTTTTTATTTGTTTCCCTTGTACTTTTCTAACCCATGTATTTCTGTATGTACATGCATCATGTCTCCCCGGAGATAATCCACTGTATTTACTCTCTCTATATATTCTATATTCCCAGTGACAGCCATCTGCTGCTGAATAACAAATGACATTACCTCCACCATGCATCTGTTTCAGAGAGGAAGCATTAGATTACTGAACTCCTCAACAAGGTCAGCAGCCGCCACCATTTACTGCTGAAACCCCACAATGCACTGCTGTAACCCCCCCCCCCATGCACTGCTAATCCTGAAGTGAGGATGACATTCATGGCTGCCATTAAACTCTGATCAATTATGGATGCTAATGTATGGAGGCTTTTAATCAGAGGCAGCACTCTGACCCTTACATGGGGGGGGGGGGGCACCTGAGAGCATTAATATGCAGAGAGAGAAGCGACTGACTGATATTAACTCTGTTAACCTCGTTCATCACAACACAAACCTGCCAATACATGGGATTATTTATTACAGCTATCTGGCGCGGGTCAAATGAAACTAAACTCTATGAGGAGCATCTTAAAGGGAGGTTGTGGCTCAGTGGATAGTGCGCTGATCTTCGGATCACAGGGGCACAGGGGCACTGGTTCGAATCCCGCTGCAGTCAACATTCCGCTGTGTCCTTGGACAAGACACTTCACCCTAAATTGCTCATGTGGGGATTGCCCACAGTATTGAATGTATGTAAGTCGCTTTGGATAAAAGTGTCTAACAAGTGACGTGTAATGTAATGTAATGTAATACTTATTAAAACGTTTTATCAGCAGAGACTCCAGGAAGTGACTGCACCTGGACAGGAAGTAGCCACCAGTCACCGTTTTTATATTGATTTTTGTTTTGCTAAACCTGCAGCCTAAACTTTATGGTTCATTTTTGGTTCAAATTACATTTAATTTTGGCAAGGCAAGTCTATCTTTTATATTGATTTATTTTACAAAAAGGCAGCTCAATGTGCCTTACATAATAAATGTTTAAAAAAGACTACGGCAACATGATTAAAAGTTATTTTAAAATTAAGAAGTTTAAAAGACACTAGTAGTGAGAATAACAGATTTTAGAATCAAACAACATAAAAATATAAGTAATTTATGTGCATATCATCAAACGTAGATGAAGAGCAATTTAAGTCACTTTGTTTACATTAGCAGAGCATCGCTAACACTCAGAGCTAACCTGTACTGGAGAGAGCATGTGTTTAAAAAGCAGGAAATAAAAAAAGGAACTCACCTTGTGATAAACCCGCAAGAGAAAAAGCATTTGAGCTCCATACTGTTACAGAAATAATCCTTGATGTGCTTTAGAACAGGATGGCGTTTCATCACAGCAGAATTTAACTTTATCTCCGGTAGAATTCTGATCAGGCATTAGCTCCGCCTCCTCTTTTTTTTTTTTTAAGCTAAGGACCCAAAATCAGCGTTTTTCGAAACAGGGCTGAAACAGAGGGATATGAGGGATTTCTAAAATGCATGATCTGTTTGTATTTTGAGCAAAACACATCATAAACATGTTTTGATATATTTGTATATATCTGAGACCCATAATATATGCCTAAAAATAGCATGATAGGTGCACTTTAAATTGGTCTGAGATAATGCAATACTTCTGTTAAAAAGTCATTCCTTTTTACAGTATCTTACAAAACATCCTAATAAAAATAAATCAGTAAAAATTATCACACTCACAAAATAATACTGATAATATACTGTATATCTAAAACAAACTAGGACATTTGATCACATGTTCTTCTTTTATATCATTGTCTCCCTTTACATGCTAGACTAGAGTCCAAGATTATACTTTTAACTTATAAAATATTACACAGATTTGCCCTTTATCCTACTTATCGTCAAACTAGGTTTCATAATTAACTTTGCGCTAATTTATTTGACGTGAAACAGACAAGCTACAATCACTAACACCAGGCTGCTAAACTAACAGCCTTAAGTGCAAGAGTCTCTTAATAACCCAACTCTCATGCACTTTAAAAAACCTTTTGAAGGCACTTTATAGCTCTTTACCCCTTAAGTATTTATTACCCTTCGTATGATTGTTGATGTGTTTTTGTTGTTGTTTGTTTTTCGTTTGCGCAAGGTTGCACTCCAACATCTCATTGTGTATGTTAGTGTGATGACAATAAAGGCTTTCTATTCTATTCTAAGTTATAACCATAGCTTCTCTTGGATAACTTCAACTCACTGTACATTTTACATTTGTATTCCATTTCATATTTAATATTCCATTCCTTACACACTGAATGTATAATATCCTGCATTATATTTTGTTACTGTAAATTAGTTTTTCAACATGTATATTTCCTTTTTTTTTTAAATGCTATTTTATTTCAATTTGAGATGTTTACATTTTGGATTGTTTATTTCTTGTCTTTTAACTTCTCTAATGTACAATGCCATGTCTTTTTATGCTGCTGCAACGCAACAAAATCCCACATTTGGATCAATAAATTACTTTAGGTGTTATTGATTGAGCTTTCTAGGCACCTCACCTTTGAACTTCCCGCTCTCCAGCAGCGCTCCCGACTCCTCCAGAGAGAAGAACTCCTGGATGGACACAAAGTTGTAATCTACGCCGGAGATCTCCCCGTCTCTGGGCTGTCTGGTGGTGCCTGGGAGAGGACATATAGAGAATATGAGAGAGACCAGAGGAAATATAGAATCTTCATACATCAGGTCAGAGAGAGAGAGAAATACTGCCAGCTCTAACGGAGATGACACTTAATCACATCCTCTCATCGGGGGGGCATGAATCTTAGTTAAGTGTTTAAATAAAGCGACAACTCAGCAAAAATATAAATAGTCCAAGCATCACAGTTTGACAAATTGTTTAAAAATGTAATTCAACGAGAGGTGACAACCTCCTGAATCATTTCTGGTTCGTTTTCAAGCAGTAGAGGAGAAATTATTCAGATATTTTATAAATAAAGAGGACGTATAATGCTCATTTTCAGGTGTATATCAGTATGTAGTGTCTCTACTTTAAAGAGTCCTCTCCTGCTGATGTTCAGGTGTATATCAGTATGTAGTGTCTCTACTTTAAAGAGTCCTCTCCTGCTGATGTTCAGGTGTATATCAGTATGTAGTGTCTCTACTTTAAAGAGTCCTCTCCTGCTGATGTTCAGGTGTATATCAGTATGTAGTGTCTCTACTTTAAAGAGTCCTCTCCTGCTGATGTTCAGGTGTATATCAGTATGTAGTGTCTCTACTTTAAAGAGTCCTCTCCTGCTGATGTTCAGGTGTATATCAGTATGTAGTGTCTCTACTTTAAAGAGTCCTCTCCTGCTGATGTTCAGGTGTATATCAGTATGTAGTGTCTCTACTTTAAAGAGTCCTCTCCTGCTGATGTTCAGGTGTATATCAGTATGTAGTGTCTCTACTTTAAAGAGTCCTCTCCTGCTGATGTTCAGGTGTATATCAGTATGTAGTGTCTCTACTTTAAAGAGTCCTCTCCTGCTGATGTTCAGGTGTATATCAGTATGTAGTGTCTCTACTTTAAATAGTCCTCTCCTGCTGATGTTCAGGTGTATATCAGTATTTAGTGTCTCTACTTTAAAGAGTCCTCTCCTGCTGATGTTCAGGTGTATATCAGTATGTAGTGTCTCTACTTTAAAGAGTCCTCTCCTGCTGATGTTCAGGTGTATATCAGTATGTAGTGTCTCTACTTTAAAGAGTCCTCTCCTGCTGATGTTCAGGTGTATATCAGTATGTAGTGTCTCTACTTTAAAGAGTCCTCTCCTGCTGATGTTCAGGTGTATATCAGTATGTAGTGTCTCTACTTTAAAGAGTCCTCTCCTGCTGATGTTCAGGTGTATATCAGTATGTAGTGTCTCTACTTTAAAGAGTCCTCTCCTGCTGATGTTCAGGTGTATATCAGTATGTAGTGTCTCTACTTTAAAGAGTCCTCTCCTGCTGATGTTCAGGTGTATATCAGTGTGTAGTGTCTCTAATTTAAAGAGTCCTCTCCTGCTGATGTTCAGGTGTATATCAGTATGTAGTGTCTCTACTTTAAAGAGTCCTCTACTGCTGAATAATCTCATAATTAATAATGAATCTGAACATTAATGAAGAGACCTCTGTAAATACAGCGTTGGGCTCCTGGTGTAAAAAGTGAGCCGCGGGTCGACCTGAACGTTTCCTCAGGTCTGCAGAGAGCGTTTAGCAGCGTCTCTTTATTATGAGCGGATCAATGAGAGCAGAATGAAACATTAATGAGGCGCTGTGAACGTCTTTCTGTCAGCATCAGACAGACGGAGATCAATGCTCCGTCAGCAGGAGGGTCACCTGACCTTGGGTCCAAACCACAGTGGAGAAAAGCATCATCACAGAATCACACAGTCTTAATGTTTGATGTGTTTCTGAACCACATTTACTAGACTTCAAATGCATGTGCGGGCATGTAGTGTGAAATATATCACATTTTTATTTCACTCATTAAGTCAAATCTGATTGTTTTTATCTGTCAGAGCTTGTGTTATAGTCTAGTTGCAGTCTTATTGTGAGCACAGAGATGTTGAGTAGCCCAAGTGTTAGGCTAGAAATGTATAGTACGGGTCCCCAGCACATAGAAACTGACGGATGCTAAATTGCATATGTTGAGCAATTTGCACAATTAGCATAAGTTGTGTTAATAAGCATTAAGTACCATATTGACAATAGTTAATAATAAAAAGGGCTAGGCCGATTTGGACAATTTGTGTTTGAGTGGAGTTGGAGGTTATTGAGGATGCTGAATCCATTACAGGATCAGAAATGGCAGTTCTAACCAGGACGTGGCCATCTCTGTACTCTCCACGGGCTGATTTTGATTCATTTCGGGTCGATTTGGCAGATTTAGGGGACTCTGGTTCATTAAGATTGGACAGATTGCTTATTCATTTGAAAAATAATTGTCCACAGAAGAGGTATAATGTTCATCTTGTGCTCTCTGTATCCAATGGTCGCAACATTACACACAGTCGTCAAAATCAGCCCACTGAGAGTACAGATATGGCCCCTTTCTGTTTGATGTCCTTAAGAAGAGCTGTGAGACTCTCTCAGTCTTCAGACACTCTTGGCTGTCTTTTATAATTTCGCACAGCAATACAATCTTTAACCTCAATCACCAGTGTGTGTCTGTGTTCACATTGTGTTATATTCTCATTCTAATTTGCAGATTGAACTGCGAGCCGTCCGCTTCGACCTTGAGACAATAATTCCTTTCCCGAGACAAAATCTCACATGAGCCCAAACTGAGGACGAATCGGCGTCCTTCTGCAGGAGGGAGTCACACCCAGATCCCCCATAAAACCCGTGATTAATGCACCGCCGTGCTGGGAGCTGTCCCCCCCCACAGACACAGTGACACAAGCACAGAGCATGCACGCAAACACACACACACACACATGTAGACACACTGACAGTAGAGAGCAGAAGCTCCATCAGACCGACCTGTTCTCTAAAAACACACGCATAAAAAGCTCCATGGATTTAGATTGCAGAGGTACACACACACACACACACACACACACACACACACACACACACACACACACACACACACACACACACACACACACACACACACTTATAAAGTATATCAGTATAATACTGTATGGCTGCAAGTACAGATTACTAAAATGTTCCATTAAAATGCACTCAGTAAACCTTTGTTTCTGTTCATTGCATATTCTTCTTATTAATCGTATTTTGCACATTACCACTTTGAAAAAGTATTTCAGATGTTTCTTACATTTTGTATTTTATTTAATGTACATAATTTATATTATTTGTTCATATTTTCATTTAATTTCCTTACATTCAGCTTCAATTGAAATTCATGCATATTGGAAATATTTTAAAGGATTTTTATCATTGTTTTTTCTCTTCTATATTTCAGTTTTTGTTCATATTTTAAAAGTTGTTCAGGTTTTTTATTGCAATTTTCCTCAATACGGCTTATAATGTAAATAAGATATTTTGTACACAATTTTTGGAAAAACATTTATTTTGTAATTTCCCGCCACAAAGCGTGCATCCTTATAATAATATATTTTGTTAAAGTTGTTTTTTAAATATATTTTATCTATATGTAGGTTTCTTGACATATTTTACTGCTTTAATTTTTTATTTATATTTAATGTTCTTCTTATGCTTGTTAATTCCACGAGTCAATAAAGAAACATCACACTGAATATTTGCTGAATTGAAGCGTAATAAAACGTCTAAAAAACCAAATGATTATTGAATCGTTGCAGACCTGTTTTCTGTTGATCCACTAATTGACTCACTAATCGTTTCAGATCATGTTGAGTTTTACTTCTCCTTGCTTTGAGATTCCCAGAGGCAGCGTTTCCTCCGGAGGAGTTTGACCCTCCGGATCATTAGGAAACTGTCTGAGGCTTTAAGGTCCTTACACACCAAGCCGATTTTCGGCATCGATAGATGTCGATAGATGTCGGGCCGTCGATGAGCGTCGTGTCGCCCTACTCAGATTGGTGTGTCTTGGTGTGTACTGCACCGTCGTGTCTTTTCGGCCGGGCCGACACCTTCCGCCGCCGGTTCGACATGTTGAATCGGGAGGCTGTCGGCCAAAGAAATCACTCTGATTGGCTGTTCAGCTAGCGAATCAGTGCAGGAGAAGCGAAACGGAAGTGAGGGACCCAAACAAACGATTAAGAAGGCAAATCTGAGATTTCATTTAACTCCAGCTCTCGACACAGGTTGGGGAAAGCCCCATGAGCTTCTCGCTGTAGAGTGAAAATGGAACGCGCACGCTATTTGTTGTTTGTTTATATCACGCAGTCTGTTCTTCTTAATAATAATAATAATAATGGGTTCCATTTATAAAGCACTTCATATTCGAATTCAAATCCCGAAGTGCTACAGGCAGTGAGCAGGAACAGTATAAATAGACATGACACAACACGGTAGAATTAATAAAAAGCAATAAAAATAAATAAATAAAAATAAATAAATAAATAAATAAATAAATAAATAAATAAATAAAAATAAAGATAAAAGGATGGTAAAAGGGTCTAGGCAAAGGCTCTTTTGAAAAGATGGGTTTTGAGGCTTTTTTTAAAAGCCTCCACACTCTGTGGTGCTCTCTCGGTGTATCACGCAGTCTGTCTTCCGGTTGCCTCTTTTGAATGACGAATACACACTACCGCCGCCTGCTGGTAAGGAGAGTTATTGCCACTCACGCATGCGCAGTTCGTACGTGCTTCTTGGCCGTCGGCTGAAGTCTTTGCGGTGTGTTCCAGTGCGAAACATGGCCAAGACGCAGGAGACGTGAGGCGACGTGAGGCGACGTGAGGATACGTGAGGCGACGTGAGGCGACGTGAGGCGACGTGAGGCAACGTGAGGCGACGTGAGGAGACGTGAGGCGACGTGAGGCGACGTGAGGCGACGTGAGGCGACGTGAGGCGACGTGAGGCGACGTGAGGAGACGTGAGGAGACGTGAGGCGACGTGAGGCGACGTGAGGCAACGTGAGGCGACGTGAGGCGACGTTCAGTCGGGACGTGTTCTTTGATGTTCTTTGGTGTCAGTTTGGTGTGTAATGACCTTTAGAGCGGATAGAGACGTCTGATTGGCTGTCATTATACCTCATTATATCATTATACCTCAT